CTACATCATCTGTAAGTGATATGTAATGAGCATACACAAGCTCAGTAAAATAAATTCAAATCATAAACATAGCATGAAAATTCAGTTAAATACCTACTCTCCTAGGTCCCCACTTCCATTTAGTCACGCCAATTTTCCTACCCACACTCTTATCTTCTTACTCACCTATCCCTACTGTAATTACAACATCTCCTTGAAGAAAATTGTCAGCTCTCCCACTTTCTACCATGTGAAGTCACCACGTTAGGCCATCCCAACATTACCCAACATACTTGCCCACTCGACTTTGACCCGGCCACTCACCCACACTATTACTTATAGGTAAAAATTCCACAGTCGTCACCAATATCGGCGACCTCTTTTTGTCACCACTCGACCCTCAACCGGCCACCCACTCACACCATTTCCCATTCCTTCTATCACCAATATCGGCGACTCAACTCATCCCCAATCTCCTTAATCCTCCCACTTCTTACCATGTGAAGTCACCACATTGGGCCATCCTAACATTACCCAACGTACCTGCCCACTCGACCCTGATCGGACCACTCACCCATACTATTATTCTCAGATAAAAGCCCCTAGCCGTCACCAATATCGGCGACCCCTTTTTGTCACTACTCGACCCCCAACCGGTCACCCACTCACACCGTTACCCATTCTTTCCATCATCAATATCGGCGACTGAACTCATCCCCAATCTCATCAATCCTCGACCACAAACTGGCCAAACACTCACACCGTTACCTATTCTTTCCATCACCAATATCGGTAACTCAACTCATCCCCAATCTCATCAATCATCGACCATAAATTGGCCACACACTCACACTGTCACCCCTCCAGCAACTCCTTAACTATCACCAATATCGGTGACCCTACACATCTCCAGTACCAACAACTGTCAATAGCCAACATCGGCGCTCCTACCTAGGAAAATATCACAACTACATTTATGCAATTTCTATAATCACAATCAATCATCATATAAGCATGCATATTCGATAACAAATATACAAAATATTTTATATAGACATATATATTCAATCAGCACGTAGAGTAATTCATCTTCACCTACAAACACGTGCAATCAATAAAGTCCATACAATTTCTACATTCTTATTATTCCTGTCATGTAGCATACACACACATACACACTGTTATCGTCATTCTCTCCCCTTCTTTCACATTGTTTGGACGCCCATCCCAACTTTTTGTCTTCCTATTACCCCTCCCCCATGTATCTCTCTCTCTCATTCCACCTAATCGTCTCTCTCAAAATACTAAAGCCACCATAGTCTTTGTTCCATACTCCCTTCTCAGCCTAACTTCAACATCTGGGGTTTTCTCTCTCGTTAATGATTGTCAAACACTCCTCTACATATTTTCCTACACTTCCTTGTCTAATCTCGTCATTTTCGAATTGGTTTCTCTCTCTGGTGATATTTTGTTGCCTATACATATACTGATCTATACATATACACACGGTCTCATTTCTGCCTCTTCTCCTATTTGAGTTCCTCACCATTTCATCTACTCCTCTCGATTTTCTTCCTCATTGACTCTCCTCCGATTTCACAGCTTCCTATCCTCGCCGGTAGTCCGCTCTCTCTCTCTCTCTCTCCCCCTCTTTCTTCTAGGGTTCATTACCCAAACATCGTCACATTATAGGATTTAACCACAAATTTCTATTTTCAGTGTTTAAAACTCGAATTTATATTACCTCTTGCCTCCATCGACCTTAACACAACAACATTTCTCTCAATCACCCCAACCTTTCAAGAGTCGCTTCATCTCTTTTCCTCTTCAGTCGAACTTCCTCCCCTTTTTTCACTAACCTCACCCTTAAAACCCTTGTTGTATTATAGATGAGAAGAAGGAAAGGGATGTTGTTCTTGCAAGGCCTGCTGCCGTTTGAGCTCGGGTAGGTCCCCTTTTTATTTATTGAGCCGAAAAAGACATTGGGCTTGCTGGGTATTACACCTTAATCCTAAAGTCGAGACTTTAGATAATTAATTTTAACAAGTTTTCAAACTGATTTAGACGTACTCGATTATTCAAATTTCGTTTATGTTTAAGATCTAAGTTTTGACTTTTGCTTAATACAAGATTAGTATATGTTAATAAAATATTAAAAAAATAAAAAACTAAATTTATAAAATTGTTCCACTACTCCTTAATCCTAGAGTCGAGACCTTAAATAATTAGGTTTAACAAGTTTTTAAACCAACTTTGACCTACCAATTATTCAAATTTCGTTTATGTTTAAAAGTTAAGTTTCGAGTTTTGGGTACTACAAAATTAGTGTATATTTTAACTTGATTTAAATTTTAATTCTTATTTAATATAAAGTTAATATATATTACCATTCTTGCCTAACATAAAATATATATTATGTTATATTAGATAATTCTCACGGGCCTATACCGAAATGGGCTTTGTTATCTCAACTATAAATAACCTACAGGCCTATATGAACTTGATTCCTCTGTATAAATTATCCCATACATATTATATATACGTATATAAATATATATTGTGTATATTGCAAAGAGAGATTTAGCATTTATGCTTCAGTATTTATTTATTTTTACTGTATGCATACAGTGTTATAAGTTACATAAAATCACTTATTTTCCTTCTTCAAAGTTAATTATTTGCTATTGTCAACCTCCATATATGTGAAATCTTGTTGTTTAATCACCACAATTCACAAAACTGTAGTTCACAATGAGATGTCCACGAGCATTGCCTTGTCCATTCGTATCGAGTTGTCTGAATACTCCCGCGTCCAAATCTAAACCTCCGTTTGCACATTGATCGACAATTCTCACTGTCGCCTGAGCTCCCGTTTCCGTATTAGTCACCTATTCAAACATCATTCACATTTTTAGAATATAAAATAATTGATTGAATCATTTCTTGTCGCATTAAGTTTTTAAAACGAACCAGTTTGATCGACGTTTTAAAATAGTATTAGATTCAAAAGTCTTATCGTTTGAATGGCAAAATGTGTCTTATAAACGTACCCTCAAGCACCGGCCACAAGAAGGCTGTCCGCGAGGGCCAACAGGTCCACAAAACGCAGTCCATCCGTGTCTCCTCCGCCAAGCTAGAGGCTTGTCGGCATCCCATGTCGAGCAAAAAGCGCTGACGGCTCTCAAATCCCAACCATTCTGCTCCGGATTATAGAAATGAAACGTCGCTCTAACATTAGTGGCAGTTCCTCCACCAGTGTCGCTGCTGCCTCTACAATTACTTTGACAATTTTTAGCCGGAGAGCAATGATCGTCGGTAGTGCCACAGAAACCAAATTGGCTGCAACACAAATTGTTAGCACAAGTTCGACCACCGGCTTGCCGGCCGCAATTCTGGGCCGTGGCAGCACCAAGTAAAAGTCCCACCAACACAATCGTGAATGCAAATGCTCTACTTCCCATTTTCTTTTTGTGTTCTTGGGAGATTTACCATGTAAGGAAGGAGAATTTATAGGGGCTAAGGTTTGATTTATGTTATTATTCAGCTATGGCGGCCAAGAATTTTAAAACAGTTTTCTTTTGACTAATCAAATATCTTCGTTTTCTTGGGCTGGAGTTTTGATGATTATAACCAGACCAGGAAGAAATTCAAGAGAGAAAAATTTGGAATTGGACCACCGAAGTGGGCGAAGCTTGGTCAAGCTAGGCAACTGATATAGGAATACTATATAGGAATAGTACTCTACTATATTGAAGTCATGTCCACTACTCTACTATATAGGAATACTACATGCATACATACATACATACATATATATATATATATAGATAGAAAGATATATACAGAATGCTATACTTCTTATATTGATTATTTTGTTCTAATTAGTTGATCTTTATTATTAGTTTTTAATACTGTTTAATGTTATGTTTAATATATCGTAGATTAAAATTAAAATGTATAAATATAATTATTGTTTAGTATACTTTTACATAATTCAATTTATATATATATATATATTATGAGAGGTTTCACTAGAAGCAGAAATTATGATATTTTTGAAATGATGTTATATGTATATGTACATACAATGCTGACAAAAAAATCAACCTAACCTTATCTAAACTAGTCTTTTAATTACTCTTGACCAAAGCAAAAATCAAGTGTCCAGTTTCAAAGTTCCTCGTAATTTATATTCATTATTATTTGACTGATACCCACATGAAGCCGTCTTCATTTTACTACATGCACGATACTATCCTATCTAACCATTTATATACATACATGTATACATACATATGTATCATCATCATCTTGCTTTCTACCCCCTTGATCAGATGACCTTACAACATCACTGCACCCAGATCATAACAATGATCATAAGCATGCATGCTGTCTATATAAACACCATACATCGTATAATAACATATATATAATTTTAATGATGAAAATCAAGTTTCAAATTTAATATCATCACGCTTCCTTCCTTTGCTTTTCCTAATACTTAATCACATTCATGAACAAACTCATACACCCATACGTATAACACAATACATATATATATATATATAGGTATTTATGAATGTTATTGTCACATATACAGAGTTAAAAGATCACAAGCAGTGAAGATCAAAATGGAGAGATCAGTTGGGGTACTGTACGTCGTCGTTTTATCATGCTTAGTGCTGGGACGTTGCACTAACGCCCAGAGCGCGTCCAACGTACGCGCCACCTATCACTTCTACAACGCCCAGCAAAACGGATGGGATTTGAGAAAAGTGAGTGCCTACTGCGCTACTTGGGATGCTGACAAGCCTTATTCATGGCGGAGCAAGTACGGCTGGACTGCCTTTTGCGGCCCCGTCGGACCTCACGGTCGAGCCGCCTGCGGAAAATGCTTACGGGTAATCCATAAAATTCATCAAAATCATAATTTTGACGCATAAATTTATACATTTCAATATTTAGATGTCACTTCCGCATCAGTAAACCTTTAGTCGGTAATTGTGGTTTAATCCCAAGTACAGTGTTGACGTGCTTGTGTGTGTATACATATGGCTATATGTATGTATAATGCAGGTAACAAACACGAAAACAAGAGCTGAAACAACAGTGAGAATCGTGGACCAGTGCAGCAATGGGGGATTAGATTTGGATTGGAGTGTGTTTAAGAAAT